TTAGCCCTGACTTGGTCTCACTACAATTTATTATCTGTGTGATCATAAAGGAAGCATTTTGCTTTGATGGTCTACATCATTGTCAGCAAAATGGAGGAGACCAAAGATTCACAGAATTATGCTGAGGTTTTGAGATGTTAATGGGGGACACAAGGTTTTCAGTATTTGAAATCTAGACTCCTGGTAATGAAACACTAGTTTGTGTTAAGAGAGGTATCAGGTAAGTGAGTCTGACAAAACCTTGTCTTCTATGCCTGAATAGGAGTCAGTATTATTTCCTGAAATGAATACTCTCAACTAGAATTCATGATAATAGATTTTCTTTTATCCCAACAGGAATCATTTTCAGCAATGGAGAAATATGGAAGCAAACACGGCGTTTCTCCCTCACAGTCTTACGGTCTATGGGGATGGGAAAGAAAAGTATTGAAGACCGAATTCAGCAGGAAGTACTTTGTCTGGTGAAAGCATTGAGAAAAACCAATGGTGCATTTCTATTTCTGTAATCAACAGATAGGGAAGAAGAGCTATGGCAAACAGGCTGTTTATAAAAGTCATGGAGTCAGAAGTATAATTGAAGGTTACTCTTCTTACATGACAACATTAATAAATAAATTAGTTATGATGCCAGCTTTTCCAAGACCCATGCTGACTAACTTTTGCCCAATTAACTTTTAGTATTATCCATGGTTCTTGTTTTCATTTGATTATGGAAAGAGAGAAAGCTACATAAAATGAAATATTTTTAAAGTTATACATGAAAGTAGCACAGAAAAGTAACCTTACATTAGTAGGCTCTATCTAGTAACAGGACCACATGTAACTGCAGGAGGTACTTGGAAAAGTTACTATGAACACAGGAAGGAAAACATGCATTTTGGTTACATTAGTTTTGAAAAGTAAGAAAGCTGTCAATATTTTGAGAAACATTAAAGGTGAGCAAATTATCTAATATGTTGGGTACAGTTGTTCACATGGGAGGATATGAAATGATGGAGAGCCTCAGGAATAATCTCAGTGCATGACTGTGTGCACATATGCAGGTATAAGGCATGGGGAAGGAGAAAGAGTGGGCAGGAGAGCAGGTAGGAGGGGATGAGGTCAGGTTCACAAAAATATATAGCTCTAGACCTTTGGTATCTAAATATTTTTTAACAACATCTTTAAAATAATAATATTTTGTTTTCTATGGTGAATTATGTTTTAAATCAATATTCTAAAATTGTTTAAATGCATATTTACCATTTTTATTACATAAAATGCAATTATTACAGATAATGTTCACATAATCTCTTTGATCTGTGGAAAAATATGTAGAAGTGAAGTGAGTGTGTTAGTGAAGGTTATTTGGGTGATATATGCAGAAATAAAAAAACATAGTGCATGTATTATGTATGTTATTTTTATGAGTTCATTTTCAAATTAATATATTGTTTATCCTCATGTGTTTACCACCTGATGGATTTCAGAATATTAGTAGCTGAGTAGTATAGTGTTCTGCAGATTTAGATGCAGTGTACTTCATTCAATCACTCTATTTCTGGTTGATGGCTTTATCTCAGTCTTTGATATTAGGAATATAAAAATATACAGTGTATGAAAGTCACTGTAGATGTTTGAGATCCTTGTCAATTTCCTAAAATAATATATATTTTTCTTTTTTTCATTTTTCTTTATTAAGAAATTTTCTACTCACTCTACATACCACCCACAGATCCTACATCTCCTCCCTCCTCCTACACACCCATCCCAAGCCACCCCACATCCCCACACCCCCCAAATCAAGGTCTCCCATGGGCAGTCAGCAGAGCCCAGCACACTGAACCTAGGCAGGTTGAAGCCCTACTCCACTGCACCAAGGCTGGGCAAGGTGTCATACCACAGGCACTGGGCTCCCAAAAGCCTCTCCATGCACCAGGGACAGATCCTGATCCCCCTGTCTGGGTGCCCCCAAAGCAGTTTGAGCCAAACAACCATCTTCTGTATCCAGAGGGCCTAGTCCAGTCCCATGGGGACTCCTCAGCTACTAGTCTATAGTTCATGGGCTTTCACCAGTGTGGCTGGTCATTTCTGTATGTCTTCCCATCATGATCTCGACATCTGCCGCCTGCAGAATCCCTCCTCTCTTGTCCATTGGATTCTTGGTGCTCAGCCTGGCTCCTGGTGCCTGGCTATGGATCTCTGCATCTGCCTCCATCAGTCACTGGACAAAGGTTCTATGATGACAGTTAGGGTATTCACTAGCCCGGTCACCAGAGTAGACCAGTCCAGGCACACTCTAGACCACTGCCAGTACTCCCAGGTGGGGTCATCCTTGTGGATTCCTGAGAGCCTCCCCAACACTCTGCCTCTTCCTTTTCCCATGATGTCCTCATCTATCATGGTATTTCCCTCCCTGCCCTCCCACTCTGTCCCTGTTTTGGCTTGACCCTCCTATTTCCCTATGTTCTCATCCCCGACTCCTTGCCCTCCGCCCACCCTCCCATCTCCCAGTCCACTCATGTAGATCTCAATCATTTCTCCTTGGCTGGGCCATCCAGGTGTCCCTCCTAGGGTCTTTCCCTGTTA